GAAGTTAAGGATAGGTTGCCAGCTCGGAACACCTCTATGTGCATCTACTTGCTCCTAAGGAGCAGGTTATATCGGTCGCAAGAGTCGGCGCTTATCCAAAAGAATACGGGAGCACCTTCCGACATGGCTGAGCAAAGGTGAAGTCAGAAGCATCAGCAGCGCCATCCTTGCCTACATGATTGACTCAGGACATCGTGTGGACCCCGACGAAGCTTTTAAGGTAATTTATAAGGTTTCACCAAACTACCCAAGTCCTGGGGCAGCGCCTGCTAGCAACAACAGAAGCGACCGCTATCAGATTGCTGAAGCCGGCATTGTATGCACAAAATAAATTCGTGCAAGCTCCGCAGTTGGTAGGGCCCACATTAATTTAGCGGCATGCGGCCATCCGCGTTCTGTTTGCCTCCCGCCCCTCCCTCGGAACTTAGGAAGTAAATCGTACTCATAAGAATGTTCAATGACGGTCGTTTTTAATAGCAATTCCAGAACGACCCTGAAAAAACGTGACCCAGCGTGGATGCTTTAAAAACCTGCACTAATTTCCACCAAAGTTATTAGTTGCTAACTAGCACCTGTGTTGAAGGGACCATTAGAGGCTGCCTTCCATTCCTGGGTAGAGCATCACACCTACACGACATTGTCCACCGCTCGCTTCAGCAAACTGATGTCGAATGCGATGGCTTACGCATGGACTAGCATTAAATGATGCTAGACATTCGTTGCATCTATCAGACGTCCACACCTGGGCCCAGGGAAGGCTGGAGAGGGCGCAAGTGACTGCCATGATTGCCTCGGAACTCATGGAGTGAAGATGCCATTGTGGTCGCACTGAGAGGGAGCCATTGCAATCTGACTCCTAGTCTATCATTGAACACGAACACATACTGCGCTGTCCGAGATACCCCGTCGGTCGACAACCTACTATGGTAAACAATGAACCGATTTGCTAGGAGCATAAATATCCTACTGTCAGCATAATTGGCCACCCTATCTCTTTCTGTGAATCGAGCACAGTGGGTACCCTTGTCAGTGTTGGGAACGTCAAGGGCAGGTTTCTAGTACGCCTCGCGAACTCAAACCGGCGTTATCACAGAATTCGTACGGAAGTCCACCAGCGCACGTCCAGCGAGGACCACAGCCAGAGAACATTGGAACAGTAGGATGACACACTTTGCGGAAACTGCAACTAGGAGTAAACACGGGCGACTACGCGATACACCGGTATCACACACAAACAAACGTACTTATTGAAACCTGCAGACCAAGACTGTGAACACTGCAAACATAGTTTCTAGTCGAGCCCTCCGAAAAGGCGATCGAGCCGTTGCGAAACCCCAGCCCATGGCGGATGTCAGACAAGAAAAAAGACGCGGTCTACTATCTACTCTACGAGCAGCCGGCGCGACAGAAATTACTATTAGCTGAGTCCTGACAAGCGACCAGCATTCCGATGCTAACTGCGGCTCTTACCGACGAAACACTGAGGCTATACCCAGGAAACGGAGGGAGACCGGTTCCCGCAAAGATTTCGCTCATATCCACCCCAGGAGTCAAATCTCCACAGTACTTCCCAATGACCAGTTTGCCCTCGTCCTTAATGGGATCTCGGAGAACAAATAGAACAATCCAACGCACGGATTGCCATGACAAAGAGGACAACACCCAAACCGACAGAGAGAAGTGAAATGAAGAGGCCGATTTCATTAAAAATGCGACACATTGAAAAATAGTTCGTAAACTCGAATACAGGGAGAATGCTGGTATAATTTCACATTAACAAAATAGGACAGTTGGCAGGATGCCCGAACTAAGGGGATGAGGGCGTAAGATGCTGCCGTATTTGTGCAAACACGCACTTATTAACAAAATAGGACAGTCATTAAATATGAAACTGAACAAACAGGTTTAGAACACGCACGTGCGAGGGTCTATACAAAATTTAGCGTGTAAGAATGGGTAGCAGGGGAAGGCTTTGTGGACATAGTATGCATACACAAGACGGGGAGATTCAATAAAAATTGATGGGGTAGATGTACATACAATTTGATATAAAACACTTTTTCGCAAACTGCATTAATACACACGGGGCAGGAAGCGCTTGGGCACGAGACCAGTGTACCTGTTCCAAGCGGACACGTATCTCGTAGCGCAGGAACGCTCGACCACTACGGCACGCCTCGCAAGGAAGATGATAAGGACAATTGCGTTAATCCATGGTATCGGAGAAGCGAA